GACTGAGCTACAAATCTGCATGTCAGTGAGGGCAGCTTTCCAGTATAAACACTGGAAAAGATGCATATATATTTATTTCAATTGTTTGCAAACCTTGTCCTGCTCATCCATCTTTATCCTACCAGGCTGCAAATGAACATTCCTTCTGCTCTCTTCATAGATATTAGTCCATAAAGGTATTTCATGCTAATTAAAAAAAAAAATCTATGTCTGAATGATGGAGAAAAAGGTTCTGAATGCAAAAATAGATCCAAGAAGTCCTGAGACCTAAAGAACCAGGAAGACGGTGGGATGAAGATGCATGCAGGCAGAGAAGAAGAAGAAGGCGGACGGCAGTCATTGGTAGGTGGACATCTAATTTATTCACTGGATTTAACTGATGATGAGGATGATTTGTCTTTATGAACCACAGATCAATCTGTGAAAGCGTGAGCAAGCAGACTGAAGCGCTAAAATGTTAAAACTCTGCATTTTGATGGGATATTGCTTAAAACGTGCAGAAAAATCAACATCTGAAAACAGATATTAAATTCCTGTCAGGTATTCAGCAAATTATTTAAACTTCTGGCTGCCAAACATCCATAAAGCTAAAATTATCCTCAAACATTCATCTCCAGTGAGTCACAATTTCACGACCAAACAGGACTTATTGTCAAGAGCTTTAATCTGTCAGGAAGATTCAGTGGTGAGATTAGGATGTGAATTTATGGATCAGGTCAAGAGTAAAGTGAAATTGAAGATTGTCTTAAACAGAACAAATAAAAGCCGTGCGGCTCGTTCAGATACTCTGTGTTTGGCTGATGTGTGTCTCTCTGTAAGTGGCTGTTTTCCTTTTTTCCCTGACTCAGCTCACCAGCAGAGTTTTTCTCCCCCACCAGCTGCACCATGACTTGCCTCTGCCTGCACACCCTGATTGTAAAAACCCCCAGAGGAGCTCTGGCATCCATCAAGCAAGCATCCTAAATCACCAAGGACCTCTGTGACACCAGTCAGGATGTTTTCCTGCAGCGAGAAGGAAAGTTTATCCCAAAACAAAAACATACAAAACGTTTAATGGCAGAAGAAAAACGTTTTCCTGTTTTCAGAGATGGGAAGTAACGAAGTACAAATAGATTTTTCTGATATTTTTACTTTACTACTTATTTTTATGGCGACTTTTTACTTCTACTCCTTACATTTTTACACAAATATCTGTACTTTCTACTCC